AATAAAATTTCTCTTCACGCCCCAGTGTTTTTGAAAGTAAGATTTTATTGAATTTTTTGTGCCTCAGTAGGCAAACACAAATTTATTGTAGGGTAGTCAGTACTTTTTCCCGGGGAACATTTCTTTGGTTCAGTCTGTAGAAGTTTCCTAGCTGAAATTAGGGCCTTCTCGACAGAATCCCGGGGGTATTTCGTTTTGTGTTTTGTTAAAAATCTTGTTGTTTTCATCTTCAAAATACTCGGACTGAAGAAACGCAAAGCTTCGGAACCGTAGGAAAAAATTTCCCTTTTAATCTAGTTCATGACTGGAAAAATAATGAATGCATGAGCACCTGGTTGGCCCCTGTAAGCTGAAAATCTAAATCTTTGTCGACGAAAGGGGACTAAAAATCTTGGAAGGGTAGAGTTTTTTATTTTTCTGTTTAAGGGGAATTTAATTTGGCCCCAGCCCACTGAGTTAGGTAGGAACTATCAATGTTGTGATTCGGGGGCCGAGGCAAAAAACTCATCTAGTATCTAAACCCCAACTAGTTAATTTGGGAGAATCCTAAGAATTTTTTGTCTCACAGATTTCCATTTAATTTGGCTGAGAAAGGGATTGGGGGGATTTTCCATGGTCATCCCTTGTTTGAGCGTTGTTTTTTCCTCAAACACAAACTTGAAATCGTACCCAAAAAGTTTAATCAGTTCAAAATTATATTGATGAGTGGGTAGAGAAGGTTATTTGCCCCTCAGAAGATAGTAAGATAGTGGGGAAGGCTTGGTAGACAGAGCGTGAAATCAAATTAAAAGGGTTTAAAGTCATGTGAAAACCCCAAGATCCTACCAACATTGGGTTAGAGTTTAACCCAAACCCTTTAGAGAGGTTAATCGCCCAGCCTACTGAAATTATATAGGACGAACTGGGTTCCCTGACAGTTGTTTTTTTAGTCATAAATTTCCCCTTTAATTTCCGTGAAAAAAAGTTGAAAAATTATTTAAAGGGAAAAGATGAATAATTTTAAAAACCTGTCCCCGGTTGGCAAATCTACCTTATTCCCACGGGTTGATGAAGACCCCTAAAACCCGGGAACCCAAATTTGTCCTGTTATAAACTCAGTTGGCTTGGGAGATTTTAAAAATATCTCAAATTGGTGGTAAGACACATATGAACAGTTTGGATCTTTATTTCGAAACGTTTCGCCCACACAGTAGGCTTCTTCAGCGAGTACAGAAAAATTGTGAAGCGAAGTACTTGAAGAGAGTAATCAGTCCTCACCTTAAAGTTTTAGGTGGTCAGTCCCCCAGTCTGGGGAAAACTTTTGGAACAATGCTCTTTCCAGACTGAGGGGTTACCACCTCAAAAATTTAAGGGTGTGGACTGATTTTCATGTCTTCAAAATATTTCGCTTCTATAAATTTTCTGACTCGACTGAAAAAGCCTACTGTGTAGGCGAAACGTTTCGAAATAAAGTACCCAACTTTCCCATATGTGTCTTACCAAACAAACCCGTCGGTATTTTATACCCTTTAATGTTAAAAAAATTAATTCTTGGTTTTAAAAATTCTAACCCAAAGGGTTGGGAGGATTTCAAATGCTCATAATAAAAATAATGTTGACCTTACTGAAAAGCTTCAGAAATTCAATGGTTCACATGACTTTACCCTTGTGAGTTTTGATATCACAGCACTGTTTACCAGAGTCCTTGTCCCTTACTTACTCACCTTGAAGAGGAACTAGAAAACTTCCCCTTGCCCTACCCCACAAAAATAATTACTGAATTGATTAAACAGTTACTGATTGCAAGTTTAAGTCTGTAGGCAAATATTGTGCTCAAAAACAGGGCATGGCCATGGGAAATCCCCGCAGCCCCTTAGTCAGCAAGTTGTATGGAATTCTATGAGACTAGGCACCTTAAAGAAATACTCCCAAATAAAGCTAGGCCTTTGGCCTAGACGAAGTGAAGCTAATGCGAAGAATTCAAGAGGATGAGGATAAGACGGGGCTACATAGAGATCTGGACATGCTGCAAGCCTTGTCCAGCAACTCCATCTTGGAGTTCAACCCTATCAAGTGCAAAGTCATGAAGACTGGTGAAGGTCCAAGAAAACCGCAGAGTTCAGGTTAGGGAGCCAAAGATTACAAACTTCACTCAACAAAAAGGATCTTGGTGTGTGTATAATATCGAGCACATCTCCTGAGGAGCACATCAGCCAAATAACTGCTGAAGCATATGGGTGCCTGGCAAACCTAAGAAGAGCTTTTCGACACTTTAGTAAGGAGTCGTTCAAGACTGTATACCGTGTACGTCATGCTCATATTGAAGTATGGAACCCACACCTGCTCAAGCACGTCAAGAAATTAGAGAAAGTGCAAAGGTTTGCAACAAGACTAGTCCCAGAGCTAAGGGATATGTCTTTCGAGGGCAGTTTAAGGAAAATCGACCTGACGACACTGGAGGATAGGAGGGATAAGGGGGAAGGACATGATAACGACGTAAAATGCTGAGAGGAATTGACAAGGTGGATAGAGACATAATGTTTAAGAGATAAGGCACACCACCAAGAGTTCACAGCTGGAAGTTGAAGACTCAGATGAGTCACAGGGATGCTGGAAGTATTTCTTAAGTCACAGAGTTGTCAGGAAGTGAAATAATCTGCAGAGTGATGTAGTGGAGACAGGATCCTTACATAGCTTTAAGCAGAGATACGATAAATCTCATTGAGCATGGAAAAAATATACCTAGAAATAACCAGCAAAGACGTGGGGCCAGGATCTGTGACTCGACCCCTGCAACCACAAATAGGTGAGTATAAATGAGTACACACACACATACACGCATGCACGAGAGAATGATACCTTGAAGACAAGACAACGTCTCTCAGTGGGTTCTGAGAGAGGGAACAAACGTAGTGTTAACCAATAGTTTCTATCTTCAACAAGTTAATTAAAATGGAACACCGGAAGAGGTCTGGAATAGAATGGAATATCACCCTGATGTTACAAGAGACAGTTAGCATTCAACTATCGGCCAGTGTGTCCGACATATATTGTCCATAAGATTAAGGAGTAAATTATCATAGGAAGGGTAGTGGGCTACAAAGAAAGGAGTAGATTCATTCACAACAGCCAGTATGGTTTTACAGATGTTAAATTCTGTATTACAAATCCGTTAGATTTCTATGACAAGGTAATTCAGCTTAGGCAAAGAGAGAGGGATGATTCAACTGTATTTTAATGGACTGGAAGAAAACGTTCATTGTTGTACTGGACAGGACACTGATACAGAACCTAGACTCCTAGAGGATCGAAGGAGAATAACAAGTAAAACATTATAGTTAATCAAGGAATACATTACAGAAAAGAAACGTTTTACTCTCTGAGACAAATTATCAACGGTTACGTATCTTTATTCCGAAACGTTTGGCCTCTCCACTTAATATTAGGCTTCTTCAGGCGCAGAACCAGACACTTGTGCTATATTTGGTAATGTTTATTATGTAAAGTTTTCTCCAGTCCAGTCCAGAGAAGAACGAAGGCTGATGAGGAGGAGTTTAAGGTAATCTATCCCTCAGCGTGGAGTCGATGTGTTCAGTCCATTAAATCAAGATTGAGGGATTGAACACATCAACTCTATGCTGAGGGACAAATTACGCGAAACTGTTCCTTATCTTCCATTTATTTTCTTCTGTATTGGATTGAAGGTGCCTCTGACTGATGACGGATTTCCATAATGATGATTTCAAAATGTTGCACAAGTTTTGAATAAAGAGGAGGCAGCAGCAGCACTGGAGATGCGAAGACAATGTAATTAGTCTATCACCTTCAAAGAAATAGTTTACAGGCGGTCAGTTTCTCAGCCTGGAGAAGAATACTGTTCCATTGTGTTACTTATCAACTTCTCAGTATTATATACCATAGTTATATTCAAACTGGGAAGAGGTAATTGAATGGAGAAGTGTGAGGAGTAGGCTTCTGCATCGGTCAAATGCTGGACCAGCACTCTTTCTTTAGTAAATAAACAGCATGACGGATTTGTTGAATTAGTTCGACAAGTGGCTACTAGATTTTATCTCCACTAGAAGCAAAGTTATGAAATTTGGAGAAGGACAAAGTCGACCTGAAGCAGACAAGGCTGCAAACCTCCCAGAAAGAGAAGGATCTAAGGGCACACATTAACGAAACAGCCACTGCAGCAAGTGCAAGATCGGCAAAATATAATAAGAGCCTTCAGGACCCTAACTAAGAGTCATTATCAACTGTACACGACATTTACCCCATAATATGTAGCACCAGCATGGAACATGTAAACCATGTTAAGTAGCAGGGAAACAATTAAAAGGTTTGCTGTGAGACTAGTCAAGGAGTTAAGAGTTATTATTTATGAAATGGGCAAAAACTGATAAACGTTATTACAACAGTGTACAGAAGGAGAAGGGATGATTTGATTACGACGTACAAAATGCTGAAAAGAATTAATAGGGTGGATAGGAAATTTCTGTTCAACTCTAAAGTGTATGATAATATAGCTGAAAGATAAAAAATAAGATGGGAAATATCTCTGTAAAGCAGTCGTGAAGTGGAAATGACTTAGACAGCAAAGTGGTAGAGTTAGGATCCATACAGATTGTAAAGAAGAGGTATGGTAGGGCAGCTAGCAAACAGGTGGCGCCAGGAGCTGAGACTCGACTTCTGCAACCACAAATAGATAACAGCTAATAGGTTATGTGGGAGGAACTTCTTAACTGTTAAGTAAATTACAAGACAGTTTGCTTCGGATCGAAACTGGTTACAAATGTTGGCTAAATAACTTCTTACAAGTTTTATACTCTCATTCGCAAGATTTAAATAAATATTAGTGCAGTAGAATATTAAAAGAGAAACAAATACCTTGAATGGAGATTTGTGTTATTGGCAACTGATAGTTAATTTACTTGTTCCAAGAATTATCATGTCTAAGCTAGTTCTTAATAATCTTGCTTATAAATTAATCTAAAAATTAAGATACTTTTATTCTATAGGTGCTGCCTGGAAACGATGCTTCTTCTGTAATTGACTGCCTGCGAACGTATCGATATAATTCAACAACTGGTCCTCTTTGGTGTGCCAGGCTGATGTCTGATGTAAGCAGCCACAGACTTCACCAATATTACCTGATGACAGCTCCGTATCTTTCCCTCATTTACATCAACTGTTTTTGGGATTTCATCATGGTATTGTAGATGGTTTCACAGTTATGAAGATATGTGGCTTAACTGTCACACTACTAAATGATGTTATTTCTGGAAACCCAATAAACAATGAACAACTAGGAGAGCACGTCTCTCCTAAGCAGACCATGGAGCTGGTGCTAGCAAGAAAAGCTCTTATTGAAGCTGACCCAGAATTGAGAAAGAAATGGGTTGATGAGACTAAGATACTGCAGGAGAAGAAGTCTTTCTTTAATCAAATATATCAAAGGCCAAAGGAAATAGAGGAGAAAAGCCTTCACGTGGAGCGAGAACTGGATGAATCCACCACCAAGAGATTTTTCAACACATGTCGGGCTGAGGGAGTTACAGTTCACTCCGCCTTCACTGCTCTCACTAATGTAGCTTTCATTGACCTCTTAGTTGAGAATGGTATTGTCCAGGATACTTACAGTATATGTAACGGCCATCTCGTCAATATGCGACGATACTGGAAAGGAGATGTATCTAGATCTCTTGGGTGCCACATTTTGTATCCTGTACTTCTGCGCATGGATACTTTGAGAAACATAATTGACACATTTTGGGATTTTGCTCGTTCAGTTCACCAAGAACTTCAGAGAAACATTAAAGATGGCAAAATTATTGAAGCAGAAGCATTTCGCATGATAAATGATGTAAAAATAGAGCTAGATTTAGACTCTCTTCCAGCAGATGGATCTGATTACCATATATCTAACATGGGAGATGTCACAGCATTAGTTACTGAAGGTGGAGACCATGTTAAGGTGACCCGCCTTCTCAGGTCTATATCCATTCATAAGATGCCAAGTAGCTGTTCCCACATCATCCATTCCTTTAGAGGTAAATTTATGTATGTTCTAGATTATAACACCAGGAATGTCAGCACAGAGATTGCAGACAACTTCTGTAATAAAGTTTTCAGTAATTTGTTAAAGGTTATATAGGAATGAGATTGAAATACTGCTGACCCACCAAGGAAGTGTAAGTTTACGATGGTCCACCATGTCAAGATGAGTTTATAACAGGATGACCTGGTAATTTAGGGTGACTAATCAATCAATCAATCAATATATTATATATATTATATTTATATATATATATATATATATATATATATATATATATATATAATATATAACAATATATATATATGCGCAAAACAACCACTGTGAAAGAATTATGAAATTCCAAGCGTTTTCGTGAGTACTCACATTATCATGGATCAATAAAAGTAATGCATCAAAGGAAGGCATATAAAGGGTCTAGACCACACCTCACTATCACATCCCACAACAAAGCAACACCTGATGTGCGACTCATAAGAAAGAGAACAGTGCAGCAGGCCCACTGGCCCAACTAGACAGGTCCTTCACGCAACCCACGAACAAGCTCTTCAACCCAAGAATTAAGATTTATTATTTGTCCAATTCTTCCCAAATTCTATTAATTATAAATGATCTAATTTATATAAACCAAAGGAAATATTCATATTATTGTCCATGGACTTGCTTGATACAACTTTCTCAACTTTTTGAAAATCATTTGGATGGTTAAAATCTCTCACATGAATAAATAGAGCATTGGAATCTTGTCCAGTTCTAATGCTATATTTATGCTGTTTTAATCTTAGTTCGAGACTTTTACCAGTTTTACCGTAATAAACTTCATCGCAAATTTTACAAGGAATCTCATAGACACATCCCTCAGCATTTTGAGGGTAATTCTTTATCAAAAGTTTTTTTTTACTGTATTAAGATTTTTAAATACAACTTTGATATTATATTTCATATAAATTATCCAAATGGCTTGTTGACATTTTGAGCCCTATTGTTAGTAAAATTTCTAACTTTAATGTTAACAACAACATAGATTTAGTTGATAAATTAAGCTCCTTGAGTGTCTTAAATGATTTTAACATGGTTAGTTTTAATGTTACTTCCTTGTTTACGAAAGTTCCTGTTGATGATTTATTAAGTTTCTTATCTGAAAACTCGTTAATTATGATTTACCATTGCCAGTTCCTACTATCGTTAAACAGATGATATCACAATATGCAGAACAACCAATTATTAGCACTATAGTTTCAACTTTCTATAAATTATCTAAATGGCTTTTAGATATTTTAAGCCCTATTGTTGGAAAAATTTCTAACTTTAATGTTAAAACAATATAGATTTAGTTGGTAAATTAAGCACCTTGACTGACTTAAATGATTTCAACATGGTTAATTTTGATGTTACTTCCTTGTTTACAAAAGTTCCAGTTGATGATTTATTATCTGAAGAATTTGTTAATTATGATTTACCATTACCAGTTCCTACTATTATTAGACTTATTAAACTTCGAATAGTTGATGCCAATTTGTGTTTAATGACGAGTTTTACACTTAGAAGTTTGGTATGGCAATAGGAAATCCTCTCTCACCTGTTCTTAATAATTTATACATGGAATTTTTTTTGAAACAAGATTGCTTGAGACAATCCTCCTAATAGAGGTAAGTGGTATAGATATATTGGTGATATTTTGTTTCTTATGCCTAAAAATACAGATATAAACCATTTCCTTGTTAAATTAAATAGTTTAGCTCATTCTATAAATTTTATTGTTGAGTTCGAAGAAATAACATATTGCCTTTCCTAGTTGTTTTAATTATTAAGGATAACATTGATTTTAAATTTAAAATTTACAGAGAACCAACAAATAACTGTTCCTATGTCCACTATTATTCTTGACATCAAGATAGAGTTAAACTGTCTGTGTTCTCATCAATGTTTTTGAGAACTTTACGTATTTGTAGTCCAGAGTTCATAGATGAAGAAATATAAAAATTTTATGAAATAGCTAATGATCTAAAATATCCAAGAGACTTAATTGATAAATCCTTTAAAATTGCTAGAAATACTATTTACAATTCAAAAGAGGACAACCAACCTTATTCAACTAAAAATATGTTGGTTCTTCCTTACCATGAAAACTTGGTTGATATGCCTTCTCTTCTCAAGACTTTTAATATCAAAGTTGTATTTAAAAATCTTGATACAGTTAAAAAGCATTTCATAAAAAGTTTTCCCCAAAATGCTGAAGGATGTGTCTGTAAGATTTCTTGACAAATTTGTGATAAAGTTTATTACGATCAAACTGGTAAAAGTCTCGAAGTAAGATAAAGACAACATAAATATAACATTAGAACTGGACAAGATTCTAATGCTCTATTTATTCATGTGAGAGATTTTAACTATCCCGTTGATTTTCAAAAAGGTGAGAAAGTTGTATTAATCAAGTCCATGGTTAGTTAGTTAGTTTAATATCTTTATTATACACCCATACCCATCCTGTGGGCGGTAGTCAAAAGATTACAAAGGTACATAATGGGTCCAGGGACTGGACCCCAAAGGTATGACAGGTGAACTAGTTACAAAGGTAATGAACTCCAGGTAATAGACTTACAAGTCCATGGTCGACAGGAATATAATAGAATCACGTTTCATATAAAGTAGTTTTGAAATTAATTTGAATATTGCTTTTGGTATATATAAATTGGATTAATTTATAATTAATAAAATTTTGGAAGTATTTAATTAATATTAGACAAATTTTTGAGTAGAATATAAGCTGTGTTTCATGGATCAGTGACATCATCATAAAGTCAGGTGTTCGTGGCAGTGAGGTGTAGTCTCGTGCTTATATGTCTTCCTGTTAACCTTTTATTTTTATAGTTTCTTGATAATGTGAAAAGTCACGAAAGCGCTGGGAATTTCACTATTATTTCATATTGGTGGTTCTGCATTGTTCCGAATTTTTGAGCACAGTTAAGCATCATACATACCCATTCTAGACTATCTAAACTTTCCTTTCCAATAATTAGACTGTATTCCTGGATAAATAATTCTATAGTACTTGACAGTTATTCGCGAGTAAGAAAATGAAGTCATTTTGATGACTCGTAGAGCTGATTTATGAGAGAGTTTATTAAACCCGGATATATGATAATTGTTACACGGGTTACTTTAAAATAGTTATTTTTATTATCGTACTGAGAGTTTTTCTTATTAGTTGAGAGTTTTCAAAGGAGCCTTGTTAATCTCTCTGACAGGGTCCTGATGCTGGAATATTATCTCTTCCTACCTTCCTTCCTACCTTCCTTCCTTCCTACCTTCCTTCCTTCCTTCCTACCTTCCTTCCTTCCTACCTTCCTACCTTCCTACCTTCCTTCCTTCCTTCCTTCCTTCCTTCCTTCCTTCCTTCCTTCCTTCCTTCCTACCTTCCTTCCTTCCTACCTTCCTACCTTCCTTCCTTCCTACCTTCCTACCTTCCTTCCTTCCTTCCTTCCTTCCTTCCTTCCTACCTTCCTACCTTCCTACCTTCCTTCCTACCTTCCTACCTTCCTACCTTCCTTCCTTCCTACCTTCCTACCTTCCTTCCTTCCTTCCTTCCTTCCTTCCTTCCTTCCTTCCTTCCTTCCTTACCTTCCTTCCTTCCTACCTTCCTACCTTCCTTCCTTCCTTCCTTCCTTCCTTCCTTCCTTCCTTCCTTCCTTCCTTCCTTCCTTCCTTCCTTTCTTGGAAACAACATGATTGTCTCTAGTTCCCCAAGTTACTGATGTACACTTAAGGGTTTAGCGCAAATAATAATATATTGAAAATCTAACATAATAACGACAAACTGAAGATTAAGACAGATATGCAGTAGTTGGAGATCTTTATAAGGTATCGCCTACACAAGTGGCTTCTTCAGTCAATTACAGAAGAAACAGATGCAGGGAAATAACAATAAGGTAATCAGTCCATCATTAGGTGACCTTGACTGGTGGTGTGAGGTTAGTTAGTCTCTGTCCTCGGTGCCTCAGTACTCTCCCCCCCAACGTGCGCTGTATAATCCTACGGGTTTAGCGCTCTCCCATGAATATAATAATCTGGTTTGGTCGTGCAAATATTATTTCTACTGTTATGATTTAGAAGTTTTTAGTCTCTAATTTTAATTTTATACAAAGTAGCAAATTTTATTATATATGATGAATTTTGTATAGTTTACCATAGTTGATAATCTTAGTGATGGTGATGGTTAGTAGTACCCCACCATGCCCATCCTGTGGGCAGTGATGGTGATGGTTAGTTAGTACCCCACCATGCCCACCCTGTGGGCAGTGATGGTAATGGTTAGTTAGTACCCCACCATGCCCACCCTGTGGGCGTGATGGTGATGGTTAGTTAGTACCCCACCATGCCCATCCTGTGGGCAGTGATGGTGATGGTTAGTTAGTACCCCACCATGCCCATCCTGTGGGCAGTGATGGTGATGGTTAGTTAGTACCCCACCATGCCCACCCTGTGGGCGGTGATGGTGATGGTTAGTTAGTACCCCACCATGCCCATCCTGTGGGCAGTGATGGTGATGGTTAGTTAGTACCCCACCATGCCCATCCTGTGGGCAGTGATGGTGATGGTTAGTTAGTACCCCACCATGCCCATCCTGTGGGCAGTGATGGTGATGTGTTAGTACCCCACCATGCCCATCCTGTGGGCAGTGATGGTGATGGTTAGTTAGTACCCCACCATGCCCATCCTGTGGGCAGTGATGGTGATGGTTAGTTAGTACCCCACCATGCCCATCCTGTGGGCAGTGATGGTGATGGTTAGTTAGTACCCCACCATGCCCATCCTGTGGGCAGTGATGGTGATGGTTAGTTAGTACCCCACCATACCCATCCTGTGGGCAGTGATGGTGATGGTTAGTTAGTACCCCACCATGCCCATCCTGTGGGCAGTGATGGTGATGGTTAGTTAGTACCCCACCATGCCCATCCTGTGGGCAGTGATGGTGATGGTTAGTTAGTACCCCACCATGCCCATCCTGTGGGCAGTGATGGTGATGGTTAGTTAGTACCCCACCATGCCCATCCTGTGGGCAGTGATGGTGATGGTTAGTTAGTACCCCACCATGCCCATCCTGTGGGCAGTGATGGTGATGGTTAGTTAGTACCCCACCATGCCCATCCTGTGGGCAGTGATGGTGATGGTTAGTTAGTACCCCACCATGCCCATCCTGTGGGCAGTGATGGTGATGG